GTTATTACAGAAAAAGAAACTCTTCTTCCCATTTCTCATCACTAAACAATAACCAAATTATATATATAAAAAAATCATTAATCAGTCTTACACAGCAAAAGCATTAAGAGTACCAGTAATAATAACTGGTATGTTTTAAGCTTAAACAACTAAATCTATTTTACATTTTGACTTATAACTTTCTTTAATAAGTAGAACATAAAAAAATTATCCCCATAAGCATAATGAATATCAATAATAGTAACATATATTTTTTAAATAGGTCCCTTTTACATACTAATCCCTAATTTTCTCTAACAAATAGGAAATAAAAGATTCATCCCTCAATAAAAAAATCTTTACATTGTCTTTCAGTCCTGGTCAGAAAAAAGAGTTCAATAATAACAACCCAAAATCAAAACTTATACAATTTAACCCTGGTCAAATACTGTAAGTCCACTTTGATCACCTTTTTCTTCTTTTTAAAAGGCTTGATCTTCAGTCGCTTCTTCAAATAAAGTCCCACATAGTAATTTCTTATCATTTTCTCCCTATCTGTTTTCAGAAGCAACTTCAGAGATTTAACGAGATCCTTCTGTGGATCCAAAGTAAAATAATTCTTCAGCTCCCTCTTCTGATTTATAATCTGGATATCCCCTTTAATTGCTAAAACATCAGCCAGCAAAGTTTGTATAACCATTACAACTTCTTTCTCCATGTCACTCTTGTAATAAGACATGTTTAAGTTCATTTTCAGATCCATAACACCTTTTTCCATAGCTTCCATATCTCTTTTATAATCTGGCATTTCTTTAAAGTCCATTTTAAACTCCTTATTCAAATCAACCTCAGCTTCTGTTTTATCCAGTGGAATCTTTTCTTCTTCTATAACCTCTGTTAAATCCAATTTAAAATAAGTCCTGAGCACATTGTTTGTTTGACGGTTTGGAGATATTTAAATAGACTGTGCACTGGTTTGGGTAGAACTAAATCAAATGGAAAAATGGGGGTTTCTTCCCGAGGACAAGGAAATTTATTGTGAATGTGGCACTATTCAAACAATTATACATCTTTTGCAGTGCCCCTTGGGACCGACATGCACACAGAATGACTTGCTGGTCAGAAATACCTTTGCCATCAACGTGGCCCGGCAT